GGTGCTTGCTGAGTCCCTTCTGTGGGGCCTCCAGCAATCTCTCCTGACTCTCTCTTTAGAGTCTGACTGGACGGTCCTGGGTGGCACTCACCGGCTTCTAGCTGCTGCCTCTGTCGACCCTCAGGTCCTGCCTGCCTCTGCAACTGGTGTAGCTGCTCTGTGAGTTGCCTACTGTGGTCCTCTAGCAGTTCAAACTGTTCCAGTAGCCGACACTGAGTGCTTTCCTGATCCTCAGATCCTAGCCCCTCCAGCGTCGCTGCAGACAGTTACAGCTTGCCACCAACTCCTCCAACACACAGCCACTGGCTCCATACACCACCAGAACTCACCAGCTCCCTGCTCAGATGCTGTCAGTTGTTTTGCACTCTGCACACACTCAGAAACACTGGGCCCATAACCTGTCAGTGTTTGAAAAAGAAAAGGTTCTGACCTCCTTTTTACTCCTTTGCCTAGTCCTCAGACCTTAGTTGGCACAAAAGAGTCTTTGAGAAAGAGTATTCTTGCAGAGTATTGCTGCTTTTATTCTTAAAAAGTCTTCTCCAACCACGACTGACAGCTTTTACACACACCAAACGCAACCAGCTACCAACCAACCAACCAACCAACCCACACCCAACACTAACACTGACCACTCTATATACACAGGTACAATTCGCTGAAAGGTTGCATGAGTCATTGTAGGCCGCTGACTCATGCTGACTTAGTTCTTTTAGCATTAAAGAAACAGCAGCCAATTTTTAGCCGTGACAAGCAATGGAAGAAATTCCCCTGAACGTATGGGAAAATAATATCTGAGATACAGCGATGTCTTAACATCTCACCAGACAGGAGGGCAATTAAAGGCATAACAAATAGAGATACTTTCCAAGAAATGTGGAGCTCTTTCTTTAACTCTGTTAATGACAAAAATCAAGGCCTGATTATACCAGCTGCTCAGTCTTCTCAGAGGAGAGGTTTGAACACTGAATGTGTGAGCTTATGTCTAAAGTCAATGGAAAGAACAAACATTATTAGATGTACTGCTGGATAAGGGTTTAATGGTAATTGTTAATGTATTCGTATTTGTTTAAAAACCAGCAAAAATTGTTTGTGTTTTTTTGTTTTTTAAATTACACAAATTGAGGCGGATGAAGAAATAATTGGTTGGGTCATATTCAACTTATCTTCCCCTCCCTTTCCAAATATCCTGACTGAAATACACTATGGTTGAATGCCCAGCAAGGGAGACTGGAAGACGATGATACAAGGATAACATTGCTAAAACGTCTCTTTTTCCTACATGTTTCATTTGAGGATTCTGGGATAGCTCATTTTCAGTGTGCAAAGCAAGAAGCATTGCCTGTTTACCTTGAGGCTGGGTCATCTGGAAAAGGTATATGCTGCAAACAGAGTAGGGATGGTTGAATCTGTCAATTTTTGGTTTCTCTCAGTTTCTGACCCCACATCCCTGGACTGCTGTGAGCCATGCTGTAAGATCTAGACTTCCTCCATGCAGGCTGAATTTGTAAATAGGTGAATAAACCAAATTTATTAAAGTACGACAATCTCCGCTGTCTATTCTCCAAAGGGACACAGACCCTGTGTGCGGGCCTGGGAATCCATGGGCTCTTGCCAGTCCTCAGCAGAGAGAGGGGCAGACACCCGACTTTTGTATCAATGTTGTATTTTTCTTGACGGTGGATGGTGTAAGTAGCTTGTTCCTTGACTTGTTCATTCTGTTCAAGGTAGAAAGGAGCTATAAGCAAAGGGAGACAACATAGTTGTCAGAATTCCTACCTTTTATCCTTTGCCAAGAACAGGCTTTATGTGATTCACCATGCTACTATGCAATGCTTGCTATTACCTCGCGCAGCATGTTTAACTGCATATGGGAATAAAACCTAGTTGTATCGTTTCCAAAAAGCTTGTTTTCTTCATAGGGTGTCACACCCATCAGAGTCTCTTTAAAAATCACAAAGGGATGCATCACATTAGGAGTGAAACAGCCTATGAAAAAAACCACGAGAGAACTTCTGCTGGTCCCATGGAGAGGTAACTGATGTAAAGGGAATTTAGGCTTATCAGGAATGTAAGTAAAAAGTTTGTGTTTCATAGACTTGTAGCGTTGGAAGGAACCCCAAGGAATCTCAGTACACGGACCCCCATCAAACTGGAAACCATACCAGACCCTGCTAAGCATTGCAAATGTGCTAGCAGTTGTGTTATTTGTCTGTCCGTGAACAGGGGTCAGCAGAATGTATGTGTGTGTGTGTGTGTGTGTGTGTGTGTGTGTAAAAACCAGTTGTATGAAAACTATAGCCTGTTTACAAACTGTCAACTTAAAACACAGCTAGGGTGTTCTTTTTTTAATCAGGGTTTATCTGAAATTGGTTTAGGGGAAAACTAACCAATATACAGTATTTCATAAGAAATAACATGACATTAGCCACATATAGATGGTGGCTAATGTCATGAGTAAACAGATCTCCAACCCAGCAATAGGAGAGCACTGGATGCTGAGCAAACCCAGACTTAAATATATGCAATATAAAACACTTTGTTTTAGTCACAACTGGAATTTATCATTCTTCTAATACCAGTAGAATCATAGAAGGTAAATGGCCCCTGGATGGTTAAGTCCAGTCAAATGTGGCTATGGGGTGCGGCACTCATCTTGCTTCAGGCCGAGGGAGCCGGTGTTTGTTCATAGACAGCTTTCTGGATCATATGGCCAAGCATGACTAAACTGTTTCTGGTGCGATGGAATACTGTGAAGGAAGTCAGAGAACATGGAAACGCTGTTTACCTTCCTGCCATAGTGGTAACTATTTATCTCTTTGCACTGGTATGCTTTTGAACTGCTACTGTAGGTTGGCAGAAGCTGGGACGGAGCAACAGGAGCTCACCCCGTTGCGCGGATTCAAACTGCTGACCTTCTGATCAGCAAACCCAAGAGGCTCAGTGGTTTAGACCACAGCACCACCCATGTCTCTTAGAATCAGAGTTGGAAGGGACCCTGAGGATCATCTGGTATAACCCCCTGCAAGCTTCTTTCCTTAAGGTCCACAAATGGGGGGGGCACTACATAGGGGAAGCTGTTTGTACACAGATCTGCAGAAGAAATATACAACTCTGCAGTAATATAATGCCCCATATTTTTACTCAACTAGCTATTTAGACATAGGGTAATCTGGTCATCAATATATTTGAACCTTAATTGGGCATTCCATTTGAACAGCAAGACTCTAGTGTGAAGGGAGCTGCTTTACTAATGTGCAGGGTTTCCAACACAGAGATGGGAATCCTCATAAATTCAGTGGTGCTCACTTCTGAGTAGACGGGGTTTGTTTTGCAGCCATTAACTTTATCTCTAAGGTGTCACAACACTCATTTTTTTTATTTTTGCTGCCAAAATCTAACAGGGCTACCTCCAGACATCTGTGATCACACATAGAAGGCAATTGGTTTTAAATCTTATAATGATGACAAAAAGAGGACAATACATATGTATAAAGCCTCCATAGAAAATAGCAGGACAGAGAGCAATGTACCGGGGGGAAATGGCACAGCAGTTGAATGAAACCAGCTTGCTTTGTGACTAGTGTTCCTTCCCAAAAAAGAACCCAACCATGAAGTTGTTACAGTAAGTCACTGGGCGACTCAGCACAACCCTGAACAGATGCCAGTTCTCCATGGTTCTTGTTAAGTTGTGGGCGAACATATCAGACGACACAGCGATTCTTCAAACAGCTCTTGTTTATTCAAAGGCCAGAACAGAATTGAACTGAAGAGCTCAGTCAGCCTGCTTATATAGAGCTCCAGAACAACGTAACTGTTGCAACTTTCTAAAACTATCCAATCACTGAACATCACTTTCGATCCTTCATTTGCATACAAATTATCCAATCACTGAACGTCACTTTCGATCCTTCATTTGCATAACTATCTACAGTATCCCACTGCTGGCCCAGGGTGAGAACTTCAGTACATAACAGTTCTGGTGCGCCCCCACCTCCCCTCGTTTTCTTAGATTCAGGCGGATGACGAGAGCAGCTCAGAAGGGCCTTGCATAAACGCACATGAGTGCAATGGTAGAGGCTTCACTGGAATGCTTAAAGCCCACCACCAGTACACGGGAAAAGGATATACGAATTGGCCCCTCCATGTAGCTTAACAAATTGTGGCTAGGAACGGCTAGGAGTGGAGTCATAGATCTAAAAAAGGGGTAGACTTGCACACGCTGGCCAGCTTCTGTTTTGACTCGAATTGTTTGTTTGGGGCTTCTCAGAAGTACATAAAGACAAGAAGCAGGTGGAAGGAGCATCAGCTCACAATGGCGCCCACCTGAGAGGTGCCAGAACTACATTCTGACTGAAATGTGATGAATCATACATTACTAATACAGTGGTACCTCTGGTTGCGGATGGGATCTGTTCCGGAGCTCCAGTTAGATCCCAAGGTTTCTGCAACCGGAGATGCGTGTTCTATGCATGTGTGTGGTGGCGAGACCCAGAAATACACTTCTGGGTTTGCTGGGTGCATATCCTGAAGGATACGTAACAAGAGGGGCACGTAAGTAGAGGTACCACTGTATTGTACATCCCAGCAATGAATGTTGAAAAAACAATATGTCTACTTGGCAAGTTATAATGGGAAAACTAGAAAAATAGTAAATAGCATGAGATTTCATGAATGTCTCTGGGGTGGCAATTCAAACTAATGTACTGCATTTTCTGTTTTCCAGGTAAATGGTGTGGGGGGGAAACCATTACGATTGTGGAAAATTCCACTTGATTTCTTTGTTTCATTGGCATACACTTGATGCTTCAGATCAGGAAACAATGAGCTGCTTTACTCAAATGCTGGAAAACTGGATTAGTTTTCCTTATTTAGAAGACTACCTGACCTCGGTGGCTCACCCTCTGTGGCTTTTTGTGCTTCCGATGTTGTTTTATTCAGAAATATTGGTTTTCTGGTTTTTTTCCTCTTGTGCCTCACTATTGTTATATATTTACAAGAAGATGACTAACCACCAAGAAAATGATTTTTATAGCAAATTTTGGGACAAGCCAAAGCAAGTTATGGCTAAAGTTGTAGATACATATGGAAAGATATGGCATGGTGAGTAAAGGTTTCTTTCATACCAATTATTCCATCTTATGAGCCACTATACTTTCATAGTACTGAGCATCAGAATTTCAGGCTTCAAGCACTGGAACAATAGTTGCCACAGTGCATCAGGAGTGTAGCTCTGAACCCACCTTGGGGTCACAACAGCTACAAGTTTGGTTTGGCTTCATAAGGATCAAAACAAAGCCATCAATATTTATTTATGTAATAAGCAATCATAAAGAAATACAAAACTTTTTATGAGGTATGAAATTAAGACATATCACAGAAGAAAGGGTCAATTGGTGACTGCATAAACACCATACATTTAATCACCTTTGAAGCATGCCTCATCTCCAAAAGAAACTTGGGGGAATGTTGCTTACACCCAGTGCTTTTTTCCTGTCGGTACACATCATCGGTACATTGTACTGCCACCTCTTTTTCCCGTGCCACCATCTTGCTGCCACTTGCCCATCCCCCATTCACTCCCCCTGCACCTTTGCTGCTTTCTCCTCCAAAATCTCTACTGCTTCCCTCGGCTGCAGTCATGCCAGAGCCGAGGCACTTTGGCCATTGTAAGAGTCATGCCAAAGCACCTCCAGGAGGATTCCCCTGCAGCCACGGGAAGCAGCAGTAATGGAGGAGGAGGAAGAAGCAGCAAAATAGTACCTCGGGTTAAGAACTTTGCTTCAGGATGAGAACAGAAATCACGCGGTGGCGGCGGCGGCAGCAGGAGGCCCCATTAGCTAAAGTGGTACCTCAGGTTAAGAATGGTTTCAGTTAAGAACAGACCTCCAGAACGAATTAAGTTCTTAACCTGAGGTACCACTGTAGCTGTCTCAAAGGCTGGGCAAAAAATGTTTCCACCTATGCCCAAATGTAAGCAAGGAAAGAACATTTCAGGAGAGTAGGTGTCCCCCTTATTTAATTCTGTGACCACCACAGAGTAAGCTCTATTTCCTGTGGATGACAACCTAGCACCCACAATGCTTGAGCATATAGCAGAGTTTTTTACCTGACCTTTAGTTTTTCTGAACCACATTGTTTTCCTCCACTAAAAGATGATGATATCGTATTTAGTTTCATCAAAGCAATATTTATTTGTTAAACTTTGTATTATTTTCAGGTTATGAAGTTATGGACATGGAACGTCTCCCTAAAGGTCCAGGGATTATTATTCTCTACCATCCACCTTTTCCTATCAACTATATATTATTTCTGACTAAACTTTATAAAAAGACAGGGTTATACTGCCATTCAGTAATTGATCACATGTTGTATTGGACGCCAGGTAAATGATTTAAATTCAAATCATGCCTTTTTAGATAAAAATGTATAAAATATGACATAAAACAAAGGGATTAAATATAAAACAGTGCATCAGGCAAGCAGGTAAAAAGCAACAGAAAATAAAATACCACCAATAGGTGAAATTGCACTCAGTCTCACTCTATTGCTTACCAGAAAAAGATTACTCCAAGAACATGTGAGCAAAAGAGGAACTAGCATAAAGGTCACCTTTCATGAAATCATGAAGAAGATTTGCAGAGAGCTGTACTTGTGATCCATAATAGTGCAATATCATTTGAATAACGACACTTATTCACACTATTTCCTAAATAAGAGTTATATAAAGTTCATTTTTCTGTTTGGGGTTTATTTTTTTAGGGATGAAGATAATGTGTGATGTTGTCTTATTGAGAGATTTCACGAATGCTGAATGTGTGGAAATTCTGAAGAAAGGCTATTTATTGGGCATTATACCTGGTGGAGCTAGAGAAGCAAACTTTAGTAATGATTACAGCTTAATGTGGGGTAACCGCACAGGTTTTGCTCGGATAGCTTTGGAGGCGAAAGTGGTGAGTGACCTTTGGGCAATTTGCATTGACCTCAAGATTATCCTGGAAATGACGTATGACATAATGTGTTAAAATCCTTGATCTAGCATCCTAAATAGCCAAGAATGGCAAACATCCTGTTTTGGTGTCAAATGATTATCTGGAGAGCCACAAATCAGTGGCATTTGGAAAGAAAAACAGCTTTTCTTTCTTTTTTTCTCTTCAATTCCTGAAAATCTGGGGGATAGCTTGTGAAATTTCTTCATCTGAGATATCTGAATTGAAGCCAATTAAATAATTTATGAGTTGCCTGTCATTATAATACCAAATGTGAAGCATTCTTCCTAGTCTTTAACAAAAATAAAGGCAGGACGGTTGGGGGGAAGTAGTTATCCAGTTCTCGCCTTTCTTTTCATTTTTATTCCATCTTTTATCTTTTAGCCCATCATCCCTATATTTACCCAAAACATGTGTGAAGCATACAGGACCATTGGAAAGACAAGTGAGCTAAATATCCTATGTTCCTTGGTTGACCAAGAGCTCTGATATCAGGCAATAAATATTTTAGTATTTTTTTTTAAAAAGAATATCTATTTATTACCTACTAGTAGAGTTTATTCCATGTACACTTATCTGCAAAAAAGCTGTGCTGCCTGCCTCAGAACTGAGTGAACATGTCCTTGCTTAGTTTCCCATTAAATTTAAAACAAAGCTACCACAGATAAATGTGGTAGCAACCCTAACATGGAGGGGAACTGAGCAGAAAACATACCATATTCTGCAGTCTATTGCACAACCTATGACCCTGATTGCAAAGCATGAGAAGAGCTGACTGAATATCTTGCATCTCTTTCCCAAAGCACTTATGTTGTGTATTGAGTCAAAGGATTTTATATCTGTATTATTATTGTCTGTATTTGCATTAGGGTAAAGTAACTGCCTTTTGGTTCCAGAGGGTACAGCTACTATTGGTTCATTTAAGCTGCTGTATTCGGATCCTCTGTCTTACTGGTTCCCTCCAAAAGGCAGGACTGTGATTGCCTGATATTGTTCCCTCCAAAATGTATCCTTTCTTGCTAGTTCCCTGTCCCTATAAATGTAGCTTTCCTCTCCCCAGTCTTCAGTCTTGTTGCTTTAATAAAGAAGTGTTACTAGAGAACTGTCTCCAGCATGTTATATCAGGAGAGCTGAAATCACAAACCCCACGTCACAACACCTGGCGACGAAGGTGGGATCCGGAATGCTGAGGAGCGGTTAAACGCAGCCCTGCCTCAGAGTCCGGATTGCAGCTAAGAACAAGACTCACTGACCAGCTGAGAAGACGACCCTGCCACAGGACAATGGAGAGTCCAAGGGTATTGGAGCCCTTCCAGCCATCAGAGCCCGACACGTGGGAAGACTACGTCGAACGCTTTGAGTTCTTCGCAGAGGCTCAAGGGATCACCGATGCCAGCAAAAGAAGGGCCACATTCCTGAGCTACTGTGGGCCTGAGACATTCAAGCTGGCCAAGGCGTTGCTTGCTCCAGCGAAGCTAAGTGAGACATCTCTCAAAGATATCCTTGCCTGCCTAACAAGCCACTTGGCGCCTACTGAGACCAAGATGGCTCGGCGGATGGAGTTTCATAAGAGGCAGCAGCATGCTGGGGAGTCTGTATCTGCATTTCTGGCTGAACTGCGGAAGCTCGCTCAGCACTGCGACTTCCAAAATCTGGAAGAGACTCTCCTGGATCGGTTTATCAGTGGTCTGAGCAGCAAGAAGGCCAGAAGACGCATCGTGGCTAAAGAAGAGGTTACCCTTGCTTCAGCCTTGAAGGAGGCCACCGCCACGGAGAATTATGAAAGAGAGGAGCTTGATGCCAGTCGCAAGGCCCCTAAGCCACAGATAGAAGTTGCGCATGCCATGGACGAGCTAGAGGCTACTCCGAGCCAGAGCCCAGTCCGTGGGGTCGAGTCAGTGAGTCAGGCCTGCACAGTGCACAAAGATCACCGAGGCAGGTGCCCAGGTTGTGGCGGAAACCATGAGCGGAAGAGTTGTCGTTTCCGGGATGCTATGTGCCGGACGTGCGGGAAGACAGGTCACATCGCCAGAGTCTGTAGATCGGCGGCGTTGGGAGCGACAGGAGCACCTAGACCGGAGCATCGCAGACCGCCTGCAGCAACCCATTTTCTAAAGGACTGCCACTACATTACGGAGATCAACGGGAGGGTCGTGCAGTTCCCAGCACAAGGCAAGGCACACGTCAAGGTGAAGATTGAGGGTCAGCAGTGCGACATGGAGGTGGACTCCGGATCTGGATTCACTATCGTGTCGGACCAGACCGCGAGGACATTCTTCCCCAGGGGTAAGTTGCCCCCTCTGGAACCCTTCCCGGCAACCTTGCAGTCATACTCAGTGGGCCGCATCCATGTTATGGGAATGTGTGCCGTGAGAGTACAGTTCCGGGACAAACAGGCTGTACTCAAACTGGTGATTGAGAAGGGCAGTCGCCCCAGTCTCCTGGGCACTGACTGGTTTCCCGCCCTGGGACTGAGTATATCAGGACTTAATTCAATCCAAAGCTGCCCTGAGATGAGCGAGGCATTATGCAAAGAATTTGCTGGTCTCTTTAATGGAAAACTGGGTTGTTATAAAGGGCCCCCAGTTGACTTCGAGTTGGACCCTGGGGTGGCCCCAATCCGACTCAAACCAAGGCGAGTGCCATTTGCACTGCAACCCAAGATCGAAGCAGAGCTGGATAAATTGGTCAAGCAGGGAGTTCTTGCACCCGTGGACTCTGCTAAGTGGGAGACTCCAATCGTCACGCCCCTTAAAGCAAATGGGGAAGTCAGGATCTGTGCAGATTACAAATGTACTATCAATAAGGCACTCAGGGGAAACTCATACCCCATTCCAGTCGTATCACATCTGTTGGCTAAACTGGCTGGGGGCAAGGTGTTCGCCAAAATTGACCTGGCACAAGCTTACCAACAGCTGCCAGTAACCCCACAATCAGCGGAAGCACAGACTATTGTCACACATAAAGGGGCGTTCAGAGTTAACAGATTACAATTTGGAGTTTGTGTGGCCCCAGGGATTTTTCAAGGGCTCATGGAACACCTGTTAAGAGGTCTGCCGGGGTCTTGCCATTCTTGATGACGTTTTGATTGCTGGAAAAGACCCACAGGAACTGGTTGCGCGTGTTCGTGCAGTGTTGCTCAAGTTCAAGGAGGTGGGGTTGCAACTGAAAAAGGAAAAATGCAGTTTTGGGGTGCCAACTGTGGATTTCTTGGGGTTTAAAATTGATGCATCAGGCATCCACCCCACAGATGCTAAGATTAAGGCCATCATCGAGGCGCCATGACCACAGAACAAGACGGAGTTGCAGTCATTCCTGGGACTTATTAACTTTTATCATTCGTTCTTACCCCAGAAAGCTTCGGTAGCTGAACCATTACATAGACTGTTGCAGAAAAAGACTGTGTGGCGATGGGGGCAGGGGCAGCAGAAGGCTTTTGACTCCTTGCGAGGAATGCTGAGTAGCAGGAGTGTCCTTGCTCATTATGACGAGTCAAAGCCTCTGGTCCTGGCATGTGATGCCTCTCAATACGGCCTGGGGCGGTGCTAAGTCATAGGGAACCGGATGGGTCGGAAAAGCCCATCTCTTTCTATTCCCGTACGTTGTCGCCCACGGAGCGCAACTATGCTCAAATTGACAAAGAGGCGCTTGCAATTGTGGCAGGAATCAAAAAGTTCCATGATTATGTGTACGGTCGCCATTTCTACATTGAAACGGACCACAAGCCACTGTTAGGGTTGTTCAACCCGAACAAACAAACGCCACAAATTCTCTCCCCCAGAATGTTACGTTGGTCTATATTCCTGAACGGGTTCCAGTACACCTTGACCCATGTGCCAGGGAAACGGTTGTGCCACGCGGATGCGCTGAGTCGATTGCCCCTTCCTGGCGGGAGCACTGAGGATCCTGCTCCAGCGGAGCACATAATGATGCTGGAAACACTTCCGGGGGCTCCTGTAACGGCTACTGATATAGCTGAGAAAACGAGGAAAGATGCTGTTCTCTCCCGTGTGCTCACTTGGGTGGGTGGCCAGGTGGTCCGCATGAAGACAAATTCAGGCCTTATGCGACTAGGCAGCACGAGTTGTCCATGCATAAGGGTTGTCTCCTGTGGGGAGATAGGGTCATCATCCCAGCACCACTGAGAAACAGGGTTCTTGAGACGCTTCACATGGGACACCCGGGAATGGTCAGGATGAAGTCGCTAGCCCGATGTTATGTGTGGTGGCCTGGAATGGACCAGAACATAGAACAATGGGTACAAACATGCAAGGCATGCCAAGAGGTGCGGCCAGAAGTGGCCAGAGCACCAGTCCACTGGTGGGAGCAGTCCAGATCTCCCTGGAGCCGGCTGCACTTAGATTTTGCTGGGCCATTCCAAGGAAAGGTCTTTTTGGTTATCGTTGATGCATATTCCAAATGGTTAGAAGTGGCGATGGTCCCTAGCATGGCATCAGCTGCCGTCATCAAGGTGTTGAGGCAGCTGTTTGCAACCCACGGGTTACCTGAGACCATTGTATCAGATAATGGGGCAGCTTTTGTATCCCAAGAATTCAGGGCATTCTTGGCTGATAACTTCATAAGAGGGGTCACATCCGCGCCCTTTCACCCATCCTCCAATGGGCAGGCTGAGCGCATGGTAAGAACAGCCAAAGAATCCATTGCGCGCTTAATGGAGGGTAACTGGTCAGCTCGCATCGCGCGAATGTTATTTTTGCAGCATGCGACGCCGTGTACCACAATGGGCAAGTCGCCAGCTGAGCTGCTCTTGGGTAGGAGACTGGTAACGGTGCTGGATTACCGGTATGTCCACCCGGATAAAATGCCAAACCATAATTCAAGAGCAACCCCCCAGGCTGAGACTGACACAACAAGGTATCTCGCCCCTGAAGATCTGGTCTGGGTGAGGAACTATTCACGAGGTTCGTGGTGGGTGGCTGGCGTGGTCACCCGGGCTAGTGGACCTGTGTCCTATTATGTGACCTTGGAAAACGGGCAAGTGTGGAAGAGACATATAGATCAGCTGAGGCGCCGGGCGCTCAGCAGGGAGGAGCCAGATAATTCATCCCAGGCTAACGACGCAGAGCCGCAAGACCAGAGTGAAAATGGCCCAGAGGTGCAAGCACCAGGGGCTTTAACAAATGAACCAGGGTCTGCTAGTCCTCACGATGACGAGGTACAGATAGGGGACCCTGAGATGTCGGGGACTCCATCTGTTCCTGACGAAACCCCTAGAGCAGCCCCTCTACCACAGGTAACACCCAATCCAGAACCTGCAACACCTGTTGTCAGGAGATCAAGTAGAAGTTGTAGGCCCCCACAGTACCTGAGAGATTACGTCTGCTGTGCTCACTAGGGGGGAAAGGGTGTTGTGTATTGAGTCAAAGGATTTTATATCTGTATTATTATTGTCTGTATTTGCATTAGGGTAAAGTAACTGCCTTTTGGTTCCAGAGGGTACAGCTACTATTGGTTCATTTAAGCTGCTGTATTCGGATCCTCTGTCTTATTGGTTCCCTCCAAAAGGCAGGACTGTGATTGCCTGATATTGTTCCCTCCAAAATGTATCCTTTCTTGCTAGTTCCCTGTCCCTATAAATGTAGCTTTCCTCTCCCCAGTCTTCAGTCTTGTTGCTTTAATAAAGAAGTGTTACTAGAGAACTGTCTCCAGCATGTTATATCAGGAGAGCTGAAATCACAAACCCCACGTCACAACAACTTATATTATTTAACTCTTCCACGCTGCGATGTATGGATTGTAACTGCCAAACACTCAGAATGCCAACTAATTTGAAATGCTTTCCTAATCTTCTTCCATTTCATACACAGGGCTGACAAAATGGCTGTATGAGAAAACTCGATGTATATTCCTTCCCGCTTATGGAGGGTTCCCAGTGAAATTGAGGACATATGTTGGAGAACCCATCCCATATGATCCAAATATAACTGCCACAGAGCTGGCTGAAAAAGTAAGTGAACCCTACACTTGGAAGTAAAGAAGCAGAATATTTTTTCCCTGTTGGTTTCTCTCTCTTTCAGTTCTAAATTGTATTCTGCGTACAGTGGTACCTCGGGTTACAGACGCTTCAGGTTACGCGTTTTCGGGTTGTGTACCACGCCGAACCTGGAAGTTCGCGCTGTGCGCATGCGCAGAAATGCCGAATCGCGACCTGTGCGTGCACAGATGCGGCGCTGCAGGTTGCAAATGTTGAGGGTTGCAAATGTGCCTCCCACACGGATCACGTTCGCAACCTGAGGTTCCACTGTACTCACTTCCTCATTCTATATGACCAGAGATAGGGTTCATTATATACACTTTTGTGCATCATTTTCCTTGCTCAGTTTCCCTCTTCTTAACTTGTTCAGACTAATTAAATGGGAGAAACTATGCATTTTATCTAGTGCAGCACAAAGAGAGATCTGCTCACACAATGGAAGTTTTTCTCCCCCACTATAGAAGGTCCCTCTAAGTCACCCCAGTGCCAATTTTTGAGGGTGGTGAGAGGGCTGAAGAGGAAAACAATTCATTGTACACGTGGATGTGTGTTGCATGAGCCGAACTGCACTGTTGGATACCGCTCTCTTTAACAGCCATGATTCCAATCCAATGAGCTACCAACCCTGAATCTCCAACACATTTTTCGTTAGCTATTGCTTGTGCATCATCAATCTCCTAAATGGGATGCTGTTTCACAGAAGACAATTTTAAACACAGGTGCCATCTTTATGGTAAACTCTGGTATTACATTATAGTGTGACAATAAATCATTCTTAAAGAGTGCTGTTGGTTAGGACTGTTTAAAAGAAGCTCAACAATTTTGGGGCCTTCCTAAACGAGAAAACCAGGGTAAACATGAATAAAATGGGCTGGATTCACAGAGAGATGAGCGGTTGTATTGTAGAGTTTGCTGGCCCTGGCTCCTCTTGCTCAACCCTCCATGCCTAAAAAGCTGCTCTTGAGTGTTGATACACAAGGCCTCTCACGAAACACATCTCTGAATACAAATGACTGGATTTACATTTGCAGCATCGTCCCTCAAAATAAATTCAGTTGCTTACATTTACATTTTTGCTGGAAAGAAGGAGATTCTGGATGCCACAGATTCTGATGTCTTTTGCTTTTTCCTCACTGATATTAATAACTGTGAATATCTATTTTGTTTTTCTTTCAACAGGCAAAGACTGCACTTGAAAATCTTCGGGATAGGCACCAAAAAAGGCCAGGAAATATATTAAGAGCTCTTTTAGAACGATTTGATAAGCATGACAAAGCCAACTAGTCCATATAAAACAAACCATATGTTTGTAATAGGAAAAATTAATAATTATGTAATTAAAGCTAAGTTAACATGCATAGAATTGTGCTGGATTGTATATGAATTATTTGGAAGGGTCCCCAGCTCAGTAGCTCAGCACCTGCTGTGTGTGCAGAAGGTCCTAGGTTTGGAAGAGGTACAAGTGCTTTTCTGCCCTATCCTGCAATACTCCCAGAATCCCCTTTTGTGGGAACTCGCATTAGTAGAGGCAGAATCAAAGAGTATAATGGGAAGGCGAGTGTTTAACTGAAACATGAAATAATATTACATGTGAAAGAGTAATGTCTATAAATCACCTGTATTAAAACAGTGGCACTTCTTTCATGTTTATAAAAGGGTGCTCCATGATCTGAGCCCTATAAAGCAAGTCTTCATAAACACATAGCAAGAAAAGTAGAGAACATAAAAATATAGCCAGGCTTGGTGAAAAAAGTGACTGATCTAACAAAAACAGCCAACTCAGCTTTGAATCTGAGTCTCAGCAATCCACGTGCATTTAAACAGCTAAAGAAAACTGTCCCAGACTTACATCTTAAACCTGAGGATTACTGAAATTGGGATCAGAATCTGAGATGGAGTGGGGTGCTAGAGAAAGAGCAGGGGGCAGACATGGCTGAACAGTTTGTATGTGGGGTAGGTAGGGTTGTGCAATATATCAATAAATTTTTAGAAACCAGTTTGAAGAGCATATCCCGATGACCATCTTGAGCTTGTGACATATCACCAGAAGGAGCCTGAGAATGTGCTTGCCTGCCTGCCTGCAGCTTCCTTCCTTCACAAATGGGCTGCCTCCCTTCCTCCTGATCACTCCTCTTGCCCACACCCTCCCCTCCACAGTCCAGCCACTGCAAGGGGCTAGAGGCAATTGCTGGGAAGGACCTGCTGCCTGTGATTTTAAAGCGCATGCTGCTCGCTCCTCTACACAGCCCTTCTTAAGTCTCCCCTGCCTCCTGCAGCCACAGCCATAAAAAAAAATAATCAACAGTTATTTACTTAAAAGTAGGAAATAAAATATTGTCCTGTTCCATCTCCACTTGTGTGTGTGTGTGTGTGTGTGTGTGTGTGAGGGGGAGAGAGAGAGAGAGAGAGAGCGAGCGCGTGCTATGGCAGGCAGAAAGCAGGATGCTGCCTTGCCTTCCCTCTCCCAGATATGAGTCTCTCGCTTTTGTGCCACAAAAGGGAGAAATGGGGTAAACTGCGGGGGGAAGATTCAACTGGATGCCTTATGGGAGAGGTTGGATGGCCACCTATCACAGCTGCTTGAGTTGAAGGGGGATTCACACTATCCATGCTTAAGGCCTGGAAACAAGAAGTAGGCACATTGCCACCAATCCCATCCCCACTAATCCCCTTGTCTCATTATCCATTATCAGTCATGCAGCCCAAACCTTTCACATTGAAAATGGCAAACCAAAGGCCTATACTGTCTTGCAGACTTCTACAAAAACAATAAACCCATATCAACACAGGAATTACAGGATAAAGTAGGAGGCATTCAAGTATCCTGGCTAACGCACCATCAACTGCACACATCCCTAAACAACAACAAAGCCTTCTTTTGTCAGCAGAGGGACATGGTAGGGGGGTAGTATCTGCAATATACAAAATACTACAGTGGTACCTCAGGTTAAGTACTTAATTCGTTCCAGAGGTCCGTTCTTAACCTGAAACTGTTCTTAAACTGAAGCACCACTTTAGCTAATGGGGCCTCCTGCTGCTGCCGCGCTGCCGGAGCACGATTTCTGTTCTCATCCTGAAGCAAAGTTCTTAACCTGAAGCACTATTTCAGGATTAGCGGAGGCTGTAACCTGAAGCGTATGTAACCTGAAGCGTATGTAACCTGAGGTACCACTGTACTTTACAACGCCGCAATCGCACTTGACACAATAAAAAAAAAATGGGAACATGACATAGGTTACAAAATAAGCTCTACCCAATGGACTACAATTTGGTCCAAACCTCCCTTTAAATCCACCTCAGCCAAAAGAAGAGAACTCACTTCGAAACTTATCTATAGATGGCATCTGACCCTGAGGAAATTGGTGTTAATACATCCAGGAACCTTATCAAAATGCTGAAGAGGCTGTACCTCTACAGGCACATACCTTCACATGTGGTGGGAATGTTCCCAAATCCAACCCTTTTGGACAGCAGTCGTACAAAAAATATGTAACATAACTAAGGAGGTCTTGGTACCCACTCCAGAATTGGCCCTATTTTCCAAAACAATAATGTTCACTTACACCACAAAGAGCTTATAACCCACCTACTCTCAGCAGCCAGAAACGTCATAGTTAGACACTGGAGAGACTTGTCTGCAGTAAGCATGGACCACTGGTACCAAATTGAAAAGACCTTATTAGAAAAATTAACCGACAAACTAAAACTGACATGAAGACCAAAAAAAGAGGACACCTTCACTCTGGTATGGCTCCCTTTTGTTACACACACAGCTCAAGCTGGCAACAGTGATAGCAGGGATATACCAACAGCATTCAGATCAATATGGCTAACTTGACCTAATATTTCACACACACCCTTCTGCAACTTCAAACAAATCTCACTGTAGTTCATCAGAGGCAATAAAAGGCAAATAAACACGGCCTGCCCCCAATCTTCTCTCATCGTCAATGTAAACCAATAAATATACAGAAAGAAAACCTACTCAACTGACACTGGCATAAAACTCCATAGCTACCATTTACGGACCAGCAGCTTTTACAGCCTCAGAGGTTCCAGAATTATTAAAACAGCTGATCAACTCACATGTAACAAAAAACAAACAAACCACTATAACCTTATACAAATGTTTATTATAAGCATATCAGTTTGATAGGCAAATATTAAGAGAGGAGCGGAATAATGAATTAGGGATGTCAATCTTGGCCAAGCAATGAGAACCTGTGCTAAGTTCTACAACATGGGGGTCTCTGGACCTTAGACTAAGAGTCATACAACAAAAAATATTATTTAGAATTTACTGTACTCGACTACGTTTGTTTAGGAAAGGGCTGTCTATGACATCTAGCTGCTGCAGATTTAATAGGGACAATGCTTCAAATTTCTTGACGAGCTGTCTGTAGTAAAATCAGCACAGCATTATTTAATCCCAACTATCAAACGGATGGTATTGGAGATCTCAGATAATGCCTGGAGCACAAGTCCATTCACCCCTTTTGGTGTGGCGGCATTGCAGGACGGTAGAGGATCCACTGGGGCCCCAACGAGGGAACCATGCATTTGGTGCCCTTCCTGATAGGTGGTGGGGGCTTATCAGGAGCCGGATCCTGGCATGCACCCTGCTTTGGTGAATGTGGATGCAGGCTGGGACTTGGGCTGTGCCAGGGGGCAGTGCCGATGGAGCAGGAAGGCTTCCTTTAGGTCCACCCTTTGGCCATTTAAGCAGCCCACACCTGCAAGAATTTTAGTCATGGCAAGAATTGAGTCCCAAGGGCCCCTGGATGCTTTGCTCATTCATTTGGGGGGAAACAATTTGGGCCAACACAAGGGTATTGATCTAACATGGGTTATAATCGAGGACTTGCAGACATTGCACAACCTGTATCCCTCCATAAGCCTAGGCTGGTACGAGATGCTGGAGAGACAATGGCAGAACCCAGACTCAACCGGGCTTGGCAAAAGGTTAATTGCGCAGTGAGGCGCTGCATACTACAGTGGGGTCGTTGAGTGATTTACCACCCCAAGATCACATTCTCAGACGAGATCCTGTTTAGGCTGGATGGCGTGCATCTTTCCTTATCAGGAAACAATATTTCGTTGCCAGATATTGTTATGTACTGAAGTTCTTACCCTGGGCCAGCAGGGGGATACTGTAGATAGTTATGCAAATGAAGGATCGAAAGTGACGTTCAGTGATTGGATAGTTTTAGAAAGTTGTTACAGTAACGTTGTTCTGGAGCTCTATATAAGCAGGCTGACTGAACCCTTCAGTTCAGTTCTGTTCTGCCCTCTGAATAAACAAGAGCTGTTTGAAGAATTGCTGTGTCGTCTGATATGTTCACCCACAACTTAACACTGGCGACGAGGATGGGATCGATGGACATCAGAGCACAGCCAGATGCGGCCACCCTCGGAACTGAGCCGTATCACTGAGCTGAATCACTGAGCGAAATCACTGAACAGAACCAATTCAGAGCTGACTGTTCTGGCTAGAGCACTGTGTTCCATCCATCGCCCTCAATGCTGGCATCAGAATCATGGCTTCACTTGTGCCTCTGGCTGTTTGCGCCAGCCTCTGAATCATGGGACTCCTACCTCGCTCGGTTCGACTGCTACCTCCAAGCCAACGAGCTGACAGAAGTATCACAGGAGCAGAAGCGGGGCCTATTCCTCAGCCTCTGTAGGCCTGAGGTGTTTGAGACGGCCCGAGCATTGCTTTCACCTGAAGCAATCCAGGCAGCACAGTGGGACACGATCCAAGAGAAGCTCCGCAACCACTACGCACCAAAGCCGTCCAAGATTGCTGCTCGCTATGCGTTCTACCACCGGAACCAGGCAGAGGGGGAGTCAATTAACAACTACACCGCTGCCCTCCGACAGGCTGCAATGCACTGCGAGTTCCAAGACTTAGATGATGTCCTGATGGACCAAATCGTCTGCGGGGTCCGGGACATCCGTCTGCAACGGTGTCTCCTCGCCAAGCCAGACCTCACACTGCAGAAAGCCATTGAGGAGGCCGTGGCCTTGGAAGCTGCCCAGGAGATCCGCAAGGCCAGCAGCCCGCGTCTTGCTAGGAAGCCAGTTCCAGTGCATCACGAAGAGCCCAGCAGTGATGAGGCATCCTCCAGTGAAGACGATGACGTGCACCAGACAAAGCGGGAGTGCAGAAAGTTCCAACAGAAGTCCAAGGGCCAATCGGAATGTGCCGGCTGCGGAGGAAACCATTCCCATGCCAAGTGTCGATTCAGAGACGCCATCTGTCGCAAGTGTTCCAGAAGGGGCCA